CGCGGGAGCTTGTGCCCCAAAAGGGGAAAGGCCACAACAGTGAGAGGCCCGCATACCGCAAAAAAAAAAAAAAAGATCTCTAGTTGAACTGAATTGAGTAGCTGCAACAGATTATATGCACCCCCCAACCTCTTCTTACAGTCATTGACTTGAAGGAACCAGTTGCCCTGTAGAAAGTTCTCTATTCTGATTAGTCTGATTGCTTCCTAGTAGTGTAGGTAGCTTGTTTCACCTCTTTATTCCTGTAAATCAGAAGTCAGATCTAAGTGCTTTATTAAAGTAGTTTCAATTTTTTTTTATCAAGAAAATTCACAAGTTGTTCTGGGTACTTTGTATTGCATCACATCAGGAAGTTGTCATGCACAATGAGTTCTACCTAACAGATGTACAGCAAATGTCAGGAACAAGGTACATGGAACAAGAAAAGAGTCAAAGGCCAGATAAGATAGGGACATTAAGACACAATATAAGGTAGAATCAGATGGTGTGCTCCACAGGTCCATGAAAATAGTCAAATAATAGCATTCAGGATATAGACTGTTGACTGAAAGAAAAATGCACAATGTAAGAGCTGTGAGTTGAGTTTTATTGTGTCCTACTGAGGACTAGGAGACAGCCTCTCAGAGAGCTCTGAGGAACTGCTCCGAAGAGGTAGGGGGACAGGCCAATTATATATGTGACTTTGGCTAATAAGTATGTGCAATCCAGTATACATGTCAGTAGAAGGTTACTGCTAGTCAAGAGGAACAGATACACCAGTTAAGGATTTTAGTGCTTTTCTAAGTATGGGAGGATGCAAGAAACCAGAATCACAAAATTTCCTGAAATATATCTAACTAAGGGCCTGTTTTGCCTGTTCTCCTAAAGCACAGAGTGCCTCCTCTGTTCTGAATTCCTTTCAGGGTATACTGTAGGTCAGGTATCGCAGTGGCTAATGACTCAATCCTTGTAGAACTGGAGGGTGGACAACATCCTTTGTTTTACAAAAGGAAAATCACGAGACTTGCATGGGATGAGTAATCAAATGATGTGATGACAGGAGGGTGATTGAAACTGAGCAGCAGGAAGATAAGATAGGATTTGGTTTGCTGCCTCAGCTTCAGCTACTTTTATCATCTTCATCCTAGAAAGAACTAATCAAGAAGGGGCCTGGATGAGAATTCTGTGGAGTATGAATGCCAACACTTACAAATAAATCGACAAGTAGAGAAAAGTCAGAGCATTTTCCTGGCAGTCTTCCCAAACAAAATTCATACCAATATGACCAGTAATTTGTATGGCATTTGACATTTTCTGAATTTATCATCAGGTATTCCCAGGAAACTTCTTGGTATTACAGGACTTGGAAAGTTTATCTTTTAATGAAATCTCTAGACATATATACACTAATATGTATAAAATAGATAACTAATAAGAACCTGCTGTATAAAAAAATAAAATTAAAAAAAAAATCTCAGGCTTCCCTGGTGGCGCAGTGGTTAAGAATCCACCTGTGGGCTTCCCTGGTGACGCAGTGGTTGAGAGTCCGCCTGCTGATACAGGGGACACGGGTTCGTGCCCCGGTCCGGGAAGATCCCACGTGCCGCGGAGCGGCTGGGCCCGTGAGCCATGGCTACTGAGACTGCGCGTCCAGAGCCTATGCTCCTCAACGGGACAGGCCACAACAGTGAGAGGCCCATGTACCGCAAAAAAAAAAAAAAAAATCATGGGAATTCTTTGCCCATTTTCTTCATCTCTTAGGTATAATCATAAAGGAAAATGACAAATATTTATTTTATTTAGAAAAGTAGCCAATAAATTCTCTCTTAAATGAGCAGAATGAGAATCTAATATTGTAGATTTTCACATAGAAACTTGCTGTTTCTCTGAATGTAAATGAAAAGTCTGTGTACTAGGAATCTAAGCTGCTGTTGCTTTTGAGCTTTTCCCCACCAGCTTTATTGAGGTCATTGACAAAATTGTAAAATAAAGTTTTCAATGTATTGATTTGATATATGTATACATTGTGAAAGAATTCCCACAATCCAGTTAACACATCCATCACCTCACATATTTACCTTTTTTTTCTTTTCTTTTTTTTGGTGAGAACATTTAAGTTCTACTCTCTTAGTAAATTTCAGTTGTACAATACAATGTCATCAAGTATAGTCACCGTTTTTGAACTTTAAAAACACATTAGTTTATCTGGTTTCGGCAATGGTGACTTTAAAAAAATTGTTTTTAATACTTTATTTATTATTATTATTATTATTTTTGTGTGTGTGTGGTACGCGGGCCTCTCACTGTTGTGGCCTCTCCCGTTGCGGAGCACAGGCTCCGGACACGCAGGCTCAGCGGCCATGGCTCACGGGCCCAGCCGCTCCGCGGCATGTGGGATCTTCCCGGACCGGGGCACAAACCCGTGTCCCCTGCATCGGCAGGCGGACTCTCAACCACTGCGCCACCAGGGAAGCCCCACTTTATTTTTTAAAGCAGTGTTAGGTTCACAGCAAAATGGTGCAGAAAATCCAGAGTTCCCATATACCTACTTCCCGCACACAGGCACAACTTCACCCCACTGTCACCATCCCCGACTAGAGCGGTACATTTGTTACAACTGAACCCTAACATTGACATGTCATTATCACCCAAGGGTTGTATATTTTATGAGTTTTGACAAATGTATAATGACATGTACCCACCATTATAGTATTGTACAGAATAGTTTCACTGTCCTAAAAATCCCCTGTGCTCTGCCTATTTGTCCCTCCCTCTCCCCAACCCCTGGCAACCACTGATATTTTAAGTGTCTTCATAGTTTTGCCTTTTCCAGAGTGTCATATAGTTGGAGTCATTCGGTATGTAGTTTTTTCGAGTACCATCTTTTACTCCCTGTCGTTGAAAATTCAATTAACTATTCAGTTAATTGATATTCAATTAACTATCAAGATAAGAGGGGGGGGAAGGAATTTTATTCAAGCCAAACAGGATTATAATCCAAGTAGCCGATTCTCAGAAAGCTCTGAGAACTTTTCCGCCTGTTAGAAGCCTAAGGCACAGTCATACATTTTTGAGACAAAGGATTGTACATCAAAATGACAAACTGATATTTTACATAAAGTTCACCAAGCATACATAAACCAGGTGAGCAGCAAGTCACTGTGACCCCCTACAGATCTGGGAAAGAAGGCTATTGTTTTAAGAAGTTACATTGCTAGCGTCAGAAGAAAGAAAAAAAAAAAAGATCTTTGCAGTTGAGCAAGTGCTCCCATGTTTGATGAGCTCTGGTTAATGTGTAATGCAGATGCATGTGCACATTAGGGAGGTAGGAGGCCCAAAGGGACACACAGAGAGAATTTTATGTTTAATTTTTCTTGTCCTGTCTTAAAATACCAGTTTCATTTCATCACTACCAGCGATTACATTAGTG